TTAGGGGTAGATGTGGTTAGTGCTCACAATCTATTACCTAAAGATGGACAAGGTTCATCCAATGCATTTGTGGAACTGTACTTCGATGGCCAAAAGTTCCGTACGACCATAAAGGAAAGGGATCTTAACCCTGTTTGGAATGAGAGCTTCTACTTCAATATATCTGACCCTTCTAATCTTCACTATCTCACACTTGATGTCTATGTCCACTGCCATGCCAAGGCTACTAACTCCACTTCATTTCTCGGCAAGGCTAGCCTTACTGGGACTTCTTTTGTCCCTTACTGTGATGCAGTTGTCATGCACTATCCATTGGAAAAGCGGGGTATGTTCTCTCGTGTAAGAGGAGAGATTGGCCTTAAAGTTTACATCACTAATGACTCAACCATAAAATCATCTGTTCCAACTCCTACAGTTGAGTCCATGGCAACAAACAATCCCAGCTCAGCACATGCAGAAGTTCGAGCACCTGTAAATTCAATGACAAATAGTTTGCCAAATGAAAAGGTTGAGTCAAGACACACATTCCATCATCTCCCTAACGCAAACCATCATCAGCACCAGCACCAACAACATTCCTCTGGCTTTGCAGATACTCATTATGTAACAAAGTATGAAGCTGATCAAATGAAATCTGAACCACAACCTATGAGGCTAGTACGCACTTCCACATCAGTACAACCAGTCGATTTTGCACTGAAGGAAACAAGTCCATATCTTGGCGGGGGAAGAGTTGTTGGGGGTCGAGTTATTCACAAAGACAAGACTGCTAGTACATATGATCTTGTGGAAAGGATGTACTTTCTGTATGTCAGGGTTGTCAAAGCCCGTGAGCTTCCTGCAATGGATGTTACTGGGAGTCTTGATCCATTTGTTGAGGTGAGAATTGGCAACTACAAAGGTATCACTAAACACTTTGATAAGAATCAAAGTCCTGAATGGAATCAGGTGTTTGCCTTTTCAAAGGACCGGATGCAAGCATCCGTACTAGATGTTGTGATCAAGGACAAGGATCTCATAAAAGATGATTTTGTAGGCATTGTGAGGTTTGACATAAATGAGGTTCCATTGAGAGTACCGCCAGATAGCCCTTTGGCACCAGAGTGGTACCGCCTTGAGGACAAGAAAGGGGAGAAGATAAAAGGTGAGTTGATGCTTGCTGTCTGGATTGGTACTCAAGCAGATGAGGCTTTTTCTGATGCATGGCATTCAGATGCAGCCACACCTGTTGACAGCACACATGCAATCTCTGCAGTGATGCGTTCAAAGGTCTATCATGCACCAAGATTATGGTATGTGCGTGTCAATGTGGTGGAGGCACAGGACTTGGTTCCTACAGAGAAAATGCGTTTCCCTGATGTGTATGCCAAGGTGCAGATTGGAAACCAAGTGCTGAAAACAAAGACAGTTCCGGCCAGAACACTAAGCGCACTCTGGAATGAGGATCTTGTGTTTGTTGCTGCTGAACCTTTTGAAGATCATTTAGTCATTTCGGTTGAAGACCGGGTGAGTCCCGGAAAAGATGAGATCATTGGGAGGGTCATCATACCACTGAACCTTGTGGAGAGGCGTGCGGATGATAGAATCATTCATTCTCGATGGTTCAACTTAGAAAAGCCAGTTGCTATAGATGTTGATCAGTTGAAGAAAGAAAAGTTCTCAAGCAGAATTCAGCTCCGTTTGTGTCTAGATGGAGGATATCATGTTCTTGATGAGTCGACTCATTACAGCAGCGATCTCCGCCCTACAGCAAAGCAACTGTGGAAGCCTCCAATTGGTGTTTTAGAACTTGGAGTGCTGAATGCTGTAGGTCTCCCCCCAATGAAAACAAGGGATAGTAGGGGCACATCTGACACATACTGTGTAGCAAAATATGGTCACAAATGGGTCAGAACAAGAACCATTGTTGATAATCTGTGTCCAAAGTACAACGAGCAATACACTTGGGAGGTTTTTGATCACGCCACAGTTCTTACAGTTGGTGTGTTTGACAACAGCCAAATCGGGGAAAAGGGTAATGGTTCTTCAAAGGACTTGAAAATTGGAAAGGTAAGAATTCGCATCTCTACTCTTGAAACAGGCAGGATTTATACTCACTCATATCCTTTGTTGGTTCTTCACGCAACCGGGATTAAGAAGATGGGTGAACTTCACCTAGCAATAAGGTTTTCATGCACTTCTTTTGCAAACATGCTTTACCTATACTCACGGCCACTGCTGCCAAAGATGCACTACATAAGGCCTTTCTCAGTGACGCAGCTAGACATGCTACGCCACCAAGCAATGAACATACTGGCGGCACGGCTAGGCCGAGCAGAGCCACCACTTCGCAAGGAAGTGGTGGAATACATGTCAGACGTAGACTCACACCTTTGGAGCATGCGGCGAAGCAAGGCGAATTTCTTCAGGCTCATGACTGTCTTCTCTGGTGTGTTTGCAGTTGGGAAGTGGTTTGGTGATATCTGCATGTGGAGGAATCCTATCACAACAGTGCTGGTTCATGTGCTGTTTCTCATGCTTGTTTGCTTCCCGGAATTGATCTTGCCAACTGTTTTCCTCTACATGTTTCTGATAGGGGTGTGGAACTTCAGGTATCGACCAAGGTACCCTCCTCACATGAACACAAGAATCTCACAGGCTGAGGCAGTGCACCAGGATGAGTTAGATGAAGAGTTTGACACTTTCCCCACGAGCAGAAACCCGGAGCTAGTGAGAATGAGGTATGATCGTTTGAGGAGTGTGGCTGGAAGGATTCAAACAGTGGTTGGTGATTTGGCCAGCCAGGGAGAGAGGATTCAGGCACTGTTAAGCTGGAGAGATCCACGTGCTACAGCCATATTCATCACATTCTGTCTCTTATCTGCGTTTGTACTGTATGTTACTCCTTTTCAAGCTGTGGCTGGTTTGGCAGGGTTTTACATCATGAGGCATCCAAGATTTCGCCACAGGCTGCCATGTACCCCAGTCAACTTTTTCCGGCGCCTGCCTGCAAGAACAGACAGTATGTTGTAGAGAGATGCTGCGAGTGTGTAGTAGTAGTGTAAGTGATGTTTCAAAACCAGGTTTTCTCCCTTTTGTTATTTTATCTGGTATTTACTTTGTTTTTGTTATGTAAGGCTATAATTTATGTTATTTTCTACCATGCTCAAGCTGAGAACTGAGAAGGACTTCTAATTTATATGTTGATTGCTTAGCTGCAAATCAGTAAGACTTGACTTGAATGAATATAATTATCTTTCTTCAAATGTTTTGGTCTTTGACTTGCTCTAGTACATGTAATTACGAGTCAAGATCTTAACCAGTGTAGAGTTTTGGGAAAATTCAGATCGAGACTATGATTTTAATCACTTAGTTATCTTGAATACCTGTTTCATTTGATGCTAATTTCGTTTTTTTACAACTAGGGAAAAACTGTTGAAAAGAGTGGTATGGCGATCAACAATATTTTGACTACTCAGAAAATCAAACATTTGAAAAATAGCCCACCCGAGTGATCATGTTCCACCTCTTTGAGAGGATGAACAATAATTGCATTATGAATGTCAACCCTCTACAACAAAATGAATTTTCAGTGATATTTAATATTATTTTTAATGATAATAAAAATGATTACAAAATATTTTATTGGTATTTCCTCATAAACAGTTGATAAAGTAGTTATCGACAATTATTTTTCATGAAGGGGTATTTATATTTATCAAGAGGAAGATTATAATTTTGTTAAGGTTATTTCACACACAACTTCACAATAATGAGATATAGTGTATTTTGAGTCTAAGGCCTTACAGTTTTACTCTTCATTATCGTCTAAAAAACCTCTCAATCATTAAAATATATGTATATTTTATAAATTGTTATCTCTCTTCTTATTTTTATTAATATAAGACTTTGTTTGTATCTTAATAAATCGAAAAAAATGTATGCATTTTTGTGACATTTTTTTGCTGATATTTAATATTTTTTACTATTATCACTAAAAATTTAAGAAAAGATTCTTAATTTATATATTTTTTAATTATCTTATCTTTAATGTAAGACTTGTAAGGTGAGAGTTGTTCTTTAGTTATATATTGAATTTTTTTCAATACATTTCCTCAAGTCTAAATGGTGGACAATTTGATATCATCTTAGAATAATGTATTATAAGTCTAATTCAGCCATACAAAATTAGTTTATAAGGTGAGAATTATTATCTACTGATATATTCTTTAATGCGTTACTTAAATTTTTCTCAATCAAATAAATTAAAAGTTATTCTTACTATTTTTTTATTGATCATTTTCAATAATTACTCTAATAAATATATTTTTTATGATTATTATTTCTTAATCATTAATATTTTTATTAGATAATGAAAGAGAGATAATTAATTTATTATTATTAAATAATTTCTATTAATGATAAATTTTTATATAACATAAATATATTTTTAATAATTATTATTTATTAACTAATAATATTTTTATTATAATAAAATAAAAATAATTAATTTATTATTATTAAATAATTGTTGCTAATAATAAATTTTGACTTAACTACCACTAAAATATGCCATTCTGCAAACGTATTGTGTCTAGGAGCACGACTAGACGACGTGCACATTATTATTTATTCAAGGGAAAAGTACTACATGCTTGCATGATAAATGAAATGGATTATTTTTTTTGGGTAGATGATAGATGAAATGGTATAACGATTGAATAATATAAACGTGGCAATTGTAGGAAGTCACGCTTATTGGGAGTAACTTAAAAAAAAAGCGTAAGACTAAGATGGATTTGATACTACGTATGTCGACTTTTCCGATCTCAATCTGAAACCGTGTATCGGGGAGTATAACCGCATAATATAGCCTAATTCCAATCTCGATGTGCATATAACTTAATCAAGAAAAATTCCCACGAGCTTGCATGAAAAAGTATTAGGTGAGAAAACCATGATTAAGTTTCCCTCTACAATATAAAAGCCAGAAGGTATACCACATTGTTCTCACCCAGAAAATGGCAGTGTCTATATCCAGAAGAAGACCAAAATCATCTAAAAAACTTGAGGCTAAACAATCTTACTTTGGCTTTACAATCCTATACAACTTTCTTAGTAGAATTTCTGCTTTAGTCTTCCTTATAATCCTTATCTACTTGTGGTCCTCCTTCTCCACCTTAATAACAGGAAACATCATTCATGTTTGCTTTTCCACAAGGAAGCTCAATAGCCTCTATTGTCTATCTGCAGGTACACATCCCTCCTTTGAAATCCCAACTTCCACAAACAACAATACTTCTATTATTACCCCTGGAATTGGTCACGGTAATGCAACAGAAACTGGTAAGTTTCCAAATATACCACGTCTGGTTACTACTAGAAATAGAGTAGATATGAATGATAGAGACGAAAGGGTTGCAAGTGCTGTTAAGGTAGTGGAGGAACAATTGCAGGTCCACCGATCATGGAGGTCAAACAAAAACTATGCAACTTGTGATGGTCAAGGAATATACGTATATGATTTGCCATCCAAGTTTAACAAAGACTTGGTGGGTCAATGCCGTGACATGGTTCCATGGCAAAACTTCTGCGGCTATTTGAGTAACGAGGGGTTGGGTGAGCCAATAGCCAACCTTGGCAAAGGATGGCATAAGACTCACCAGTACTCACTGGAACTCATTTTTCATTCGAGGGTCTTGAAGCATCCATGCAGGGTTTATGATGAAAAGGGTGCAAAGTTGTTCTATGTTCCATTCTATGGTGGTTTGGACATCTTGAGATGGCATTTCAAGAACGTGTCAAACGATGTCAAGGACAGTTTGGGTCTGGAATTGGTCAAGTGGCTTGAGAGTCAAGGACCGTGGAAAAGGAACTCAGGTAAGGATCATGTGTTTGTGTTGGGCAAGATTTCGTGGGATTTTAGAAGAAGCAGTGAAACTCTTTGGGGTACTAGATTGTTAGAGCTTGAGAAAATGCAAAACCCCATTAAGCTCTTGATTGAACGCCAACCGTGGCATGTGAATGACATTGGAATTCCTCATCCAACTAATTTCCATCCACATTCAGGCAATGATGTAGTCTCTTGGCAAATGAAAATCATGAGATCAAATCGCAAACACCTTGTTAGTTTTGCTGGGGCTGCACGTGCTGATGCAGAAGAAAACATAAGGTCAATATTAATCAACCAATGCACTTCTTTTGGTAATGATAAATGTCATTTTCTGAATTGTAGTTCTTCAAAGTGTGATGAGGCTGAGTCAGTAATAGAACTTTTTGTGGAGTCTGAGTTCTGTTTGCAACCACCAGGGGATAGTCCAACAAGAAAATCTGTGTTTGACTCACTCATATCAGGTTGCATCCCAGTTCTCTTTGATCCTTTCACAGCCTATTACCAATATCCCTGGCACTTACCCCATGATCATGACAAGTACTCAGTGTTTATGGACAAAAAAGAGGTGACACAAATGAATGTGAACATTGTGGAGAGGCTAAGCAATATTTCGTTAAGAGAGAGGGAAAACATGAGGAGGTATATTATATATGAACTATTGCCTGGATTGTTATATGGGGATTACAATGCTGAGCTTGACAAGTTTCAGGACGCATTTGCTATTACAATGAATAATCTGCTTGAGAGGGTTAGCAGATTAGATGAAGCACACAAGGATTGACTCTCTTCTGTTTATTTACATTCAATACCCTATGTAGTGTTTTGATTTCCTTTTTGCTCTTTCCACAATTACTCACTAACAATACTTGTAACGATCTTTCATCAATAGTAAAGTGCAACAGACGAGAGTATTATTTTTTTTCCTTGTTAATTGATCGATCTACCTAAACTTCTTCTCGATGTTATTATTTAGTTTATCTGCCTCTACTTTGAAGCATATATATGAGCACTAACATTAGGAATTTTTTTCAAGTCATAAATGTTGTTCGAGTTTACCTACTAATCATCAAGGGGGTGAGTACTTGATCACCGACAAATTAACAATAGCTTCTTAGGGAGCTAGCTTTAGATCAAGTCCAAAGATGCAATTTATTATAATTGTTTTAAGCCTTTATTTTATAACTTCTGTATGGATCTTATAATAACACTTTCATTTATTGAAACAAATTTAACAAATGAACTTCATAAATCATCATAAAGTTAGAATTAAATATCTTGTTGTTCATGTTATATACTTGTTTTTCATTTTTGGTCTTTAAAAGATTTTTACTTAACTTATGGTTCTTGTAGAATTTATTATTACTGTTGTTACTTTTTTCACCATTTTGCATAATGTGTCTATTAAATGGAGACTATTTGAAGTAAATTTAATTCACTTGATATTTGACATGCATAAATAGTGAAAAGACAGGAAAAAAATTACAAAATCTAAAAGTGAAGAAAAAATAAAGAAAAAAAATATTACATTATTATGTGGATTAAAAAGATATTTAATTGTAAATCTTTGTATATTAACTACATTTTGTTTGTTTTAACGATTGTAGCTTAGGCTTTTTGGCCAGAATAAATTAAAAATAAAAATAAAAATTCCAAAAATAACTTATACATAATCTCAAAAATAACTTATACATAATCTCGCATAAGTCATTTTCATTAAAAATTATTAGGTGGACTGGTGAAAGAGTAGTTAGTAGGAGCCTAAAACTATTTTCTTTAATAATGTTTTTAATTGTTTTATTTTTTATTTTTTGCCGGACCCTATAAACAAGATAAGTTATATTTTTCAACCATGACAGATTTTTAAGATGAAAAAATGAGGGCCCAAAACTTGGTTTCATCTCCAACGCAACAGTGAGATGGTTTGATTACAAAGTCCAAAAGAACACAGGAAGGAAAATGAGAATGAGATAGTTGGAAATGAAAAATGAACATAGTGTTGTTTCTTCGTGGTTTTCCTGTTGTAATCATATGGACCTCTCATTTAATTTAATGATTACGTTTGTTTGTTTGCAGGATGCAAGGGGAAATGATGTTAATCAAAGGAAAGGTCCTTCTCATTGTAAATGTTGTCTCACAATGGCTGGTACTTACTTGACTACATGTTATGCTTACGCACTTTTTCATGCCCTTTACTTTTTCTTCCTATATGTCTTGTAATATATATACATAATATTTATATTTGATGCAGCGGCTTCACTAATTCAAACTACAGAGAGCTGAATCAATTGTATGAGCAATAGAAAGGAAAAGGTATGCTTTTCTCATGGGTGTTTGATTTATGTCTCCTGTTATAGTTCCTTCACGCTGATATATATTTACCAACCATGGATAGTTTTTAAAATCAAAAGGGTCTCTCTTCTTATTCGTTTATGTAGGACTTGAAATTCCGGCATTCCCATGCAATCAGTTTGGGGTTCAGGAGCCAGGAACTAAAGAAGAGATGGTGGAGTTTGCTTGTACTCGGTTCAAAGCTGCGTTTCCCATTTCACTGATTTCATTCTTAGATCTTTTTGATACAAGTCAAAATTAGGTCCCAATTTATGCAAGATACCAAACTCATTCTTCTGTGGTCTGTGGACGAACATCATCGATTTCCTTCTCGTCTAAACTCATGATGTTCTTCTGCTTCTTTTGAAATATCAACTTCTAGAGTCTATTTTTTGGCTCTAGGCCTAACCCTGTTAATAAAATGTGTGGGAAGCCTAATAAATGAACAATTTTGAACATTCTGAATTTTTTAATGATGTTAATTTGGGTAGGCATAAGGTTCGTTACGACATATACAATGGTTTTGCTTATCTCATTCTTACTCACTGCTCAAACGTGAACCAAACTTGCTAGTTCTTCCTCGTAATAAATGTCATATGAAGCCGGACACTACCCCTTTTTTTTTCCTTGATGGTGAACGAAATGCCTGTGTAGACTGTGATTTCAGAGAAATTGTCCCGTGCTACTGCAGCAACACAATTATTGTCGTGAAATGAATTATTAAATGTGTGCTACATCATCTATAATATTAAAATCTTTAAGGTTGGGAGCAACGGCAACCATTGCCTACGAAGTCTACTTGTATATTTCAATTGTTTACGAACCATCAAATAATTTGATTCCTTCAATTCCTGAAATCGAACTTTCAGTTTAATTGGTTTTAAATTTAATATATTAGTCACTTTGTTCTCTAAATTTGATAGCTATCAGAACACATAAAGTTATGGATTGAAATTAAGGCTTAAATATTCAGGAAAATTTTGTTTTTTCTCTCAAATTTAAATTTTCATTTTTTTAATATCTTTATAATTATTTTTTTAATAAAAAAAACCTTCTTTTAGTTCCTTGTAACATCACTTGATAGTATAGATATAGTATTCACGAGATAGATTGTGTTAGTTATACAATATTAGTCAAATTTATGGAATAGATTGAGTTAACAATGGATAATTAATAAGATTTATTGAGATATTTTTCCTTATAGGTACTTAATAAGTTTTGCCTAACTAATTCACTTAATAATATTAGGTGAATTTTATTTGAAGATGATTCATTAATGACATTTACGCGATTGAAAAGAAGTTTTTTTTCAAAAAAAATTTATGACTAAAAAATTAATTTTAAATTTAAAAGACTAAAAATAAATTTAACTTACATTTAATGAACTAAAAACATATTTAAAAAGTTATTAATTAATATGTGTCAAAATTAATTAATTAATAAGAAATGATAATTATTGATAATTTTGATAATAATACTAATAACTAATAAGATATTAATTATTAATTAATTTTAACATATCAATTAATAACTCATTAATTAATAAATAGTTATCAAAATAAGAAATCACAATGATTTTTTAATCTATTAGTATAGAATTTAATACTAAAGAATTTAATATAATTTATAGATTCTATTCAACCAACTAAATTAAATTTATATATAAAAATCACAAATGAGTCTTAGGAGGGTGTATTGGTTTAGGATTTCGTAGGATTTTACCCCCTGCTCTGCTCCTTAGCTTATTATATTTCCAATCCAAGGGATCTTCAACTTTCTACTCTTCACTCAATACCTGCACAAAAAATGAGGTGGATTAAGGTATTGTTAGATGAATTCGGGTTAGTTATATCTGCACACAAAATGAACCAAAAGGAGAACAATTATATTGCAATGGTTCAGAGGATGAGTGGAATTGTTCAATAAGTCTCATCCAAAAAGAAGTAAAATTGAGACTTAACA